CAGCGACAGAATCCGCAACAACGTTGGTATCGTCCGGCGAGAAGCAAACCCGCCCCCAAGGGTAGGATGCAAAGAAAGACCGCATCCCATCCCAATTGGCTGACCTATAGTGCCAAACACGGCGACAGCCTGCAGAATGCAACTGCGATTTCAGCGTGAGTGGCACCACACTCCGGACAAGACAATGGTCCGAGGAGCCTAAAGGGGCTTTGACGGAAATCTGATATCCGTCTGGGTGAGAGGTCAGCAGAAGTTCCAACAGGGAAGGTGCATGATCCTCCACATCTGGAATCCGCGTAGGCGAAGTACCAGTTGTGTCAGACCATATGCCAAGGCAAAATCATGAACAGATCTCCCCGCATGATCGGTTAAACGTGAACCAAGCCATTCGGCGTGAAGGGCGTTAAAGTCGCCGAGGATCACGATCTCTGCAGAGGGGATCTGCTGTAGCGACGAATCTGTAGACATTTGGACGTGTTCGAAGAGTCGGTCTGTTTCGGCATTACCGCTATGGGGCCTATAGAGGCACCCGTAGACGCGCGGATGGTCGTCGCTGTCTACGCGTAGCCAAAGGATGGACAGGTCCGAACCTTCAAGTCTGCCAAGGCGTCGAGAACAGATGTCCTCTCTGACGTAAACGAACTCCAGCCCGAGGCACAAAGGAGTGTTCCAGTTTGTACCCCGGGTAGGAGAGATACGAGACATCAGCCGGAAGAGGACACCTGCGTCTCGGTCAGAAAGAGCAGAGTCGGCCTCGCCGTCTCGAGATGGTAGTGGCCGGCGTTTAGGTTAGAGTGAAGTCCCCTGATATTGCAGAAATTCACGGACAGCGTGGCAGGGGTCGCCTTGGTCTTGTTTTCTCCGTTTGCCCCGAGCAGTTGTAGTCTTGAGCGTAATTTTGCACCCCCCAGAATACGCGGGGCAGCCTGAGCACCCACGCTCAAAAGTGGAGAAACATGGTCGTGGATGCTTAGCGAGGGATTCTCCAGGGCTGCTGGTACCCTCCTGGGTTAGTCTATCATTATTTAATTCCGCTACCATGTTGATGGTGGGGGGGGGGTTTGGGCCTCCGGCCACCTGCACTCACCAGACGAAACGCGGAAGCAGAGCTTCCACTTCACACCGGTATTCTGTGAGATCCTGGTACTACCCCGGTTTGAGCCAGCCCATACGTGCAACAGCAAAGCTGCCGCGTGGCTCTACCACTGTTGAAGTTTCCTGCTGTACTGTCGTAACGTGTGTCGCTAACAATTAATTGCTCTTAAATGTTATAATAACATATGTTCAAATCCAATACAAAGGTGACATACCAATATCCAGGTGATAAGTGAATACTGTGGCCAGTATACACATCTATCCTCCGTTAAGAATTAAAATGCAGAAGCATTGTCACCCTCGATGGCTAAGATAGAACTCCTCGTAGACGTTACTATTCGAAACACAGCAGCTTTATCGTCTGCTGTGATCATTAGGTAGGTAGGGGTCTGGGTTCTAGCGCGATCAAGTAAAAATAACATATTTTTAATATAGCTCCAACAAAAATATGTGATATCGTTTTTTAATAATTCACTTTTAATGTAAACAGGCTGTTGCAAAATACAAACGAGTGTTATCAAGTGTCAGATATGGTGACGGGATTACCGTTACCATCTGTCGTTTGATTGATCATTAGATAACGAAATATGAACGATTAAGGATCCCCGATAACTTTTAGTACAAAGCTCAACTTTAACTCTATTCCAAGCCTTTAGAGCCCAGCAATTTCGCATCAAACGATAATAACGGCTACGTCGCTTCAGATAAAGCATAAACTTGAGCGAGAGCTGCCTCTTTTATCGATAGACCTATTTACTTTGTCCCGATACAATCAAGATTTATAACTTTTATTACGACCCAATGCGTTTCGTTAACGTTGTCATCCGTATCGCCAATCGATACATTATCGACGATAATCAAAAATTATATCGATTTCACGGCGAATTCTGGTGAAATTAATCCATTGTTTCGATATTTGGAAACTGTCGAGTCAGCGTCTTTTATACACGAACGGCTCTATTGTGATGAACCCGTACTAGGACTCGACACAGACGTACATCTGATTACGCCGTCTGTCAAACTTAAACATTGAGTCTCGTCGCCGCGATAGCCGATGGACCGTGGACGTGGCTTAGCGAGTAATCATTCATAGGCCTCACGATAACGCGTCATTCAAATTGGTATTGAACTAGCACTCGCAGCTAGAGGTCAGGAGTGGATGCGCCCGCTTTCTTTGATTTATTTTTAAAGAAAAGGGTGACAAGCGAGTATGATGGTAAATGGATGTTGCGGCTCATAGACATCTACAACTATCTTCGACGCATCAAACTGTATGCTTTCTCGACCCTAAGGACAAGTATACAAAGTTACCAGTAAAAAGGGTCTCCGGTTCTCTACACTCACCATAAGAAACACACCAGAAATAAGCTGCTATTTTACGCTGATATTTTAAGAGAGCGTAGACCTACCGATACCGATCCATTCACCGTAATAAAGCAGCAGCATGCTGCTACGTAAAACATTTCTTTGATTGAAATCGAATTCGCTCATTCGTTTGTTAGCGATGCACCGGATCGCCAAGGGCGTTCCATTCGCAACTCTGGCGTCCGCACTGGATTGACACGGTGCGTTTTAATCAATTAGCGAGCAGAAAGCGGTTCACGAACCAGTGGACAGTGAAATAAGCGGACCACGCCGGGCCACCGCCGCGCTGAGTTTTTGGATGCGCTCTCCGATTTCAGTAACATTTTTTTTCGATGTTTCTCGGATGATAACTTCATAATCGGAGCGAAAGTCGGTCTCGATTGTCGTTTTAGTTTTACAGCTCGCGGAATCCCGCCAAGGTAAGGTTTACGCTCCGGGGATTAGGTTAAATTTGATACTCGATGAGGGATTGACGGTTCACTTGAAACGTCTTGTAACTCAAGCGAAAAGGATGACACAACTCATTCTTTATCAATCAATTTGTCCTTTGTTGTGCTTACTGCTTTAAATGCATCTTAAATCAGCTACTCAGCAAATAAATTTGCTGAAGATAATTTATGCGTCAATGAGCCAATTTCTTTCTTGATTTATCTGTTTTTGTCAAGTTATTTAATTAGATCTCGTTTAATTAGTTTCAGCGTAAGTTTGCAATGGAATAAGAACGTTTTAAGTATAAAATAGTTCTAGTGTTGCAAAATTAGCCTCTTTAGTGTTTGATTTAGCCCTCTTCCTTTCCCTTTTCCTTCCTTTCTTTCCTAGCCTTCGTCCTCGTATATAATGATTTTGTCCATAGTCCGAAATATATCATACGTGGTAGAGCCATGCTGCAGTTATATTAGTAGTATTGTTGTAGCACGAATGGGTCGGCTCAACCGGGAAAGGACCACGCTCTCACAGAATACCAGCGTGAAATAGTAGCTTAATGCTGCTGTATTTCGTATGGTGAGTGTTTTCACTGGAAATGAGGCATTGTATCTTAGTCCTCACGGGTGACAACGCATCTGCATTTTGTTTTGTAATTGAGGATACATATAGATGTCTATGGGCCGCAGCAACCACTTACCATCAGGTGGACTGTGTGCTCGTTTGTCACCCTATCCTATAAAAAAAATATATCCCGAAATTATTGTCTGTCAAATTCATAGACATATACTGTGAAAGTAATTTGCTCATATAGTCTTAATTTTATATGACTACTACGAACTGGCCTCACCAAATTCAAAAGATCAAAGTCTAAACAACTATCAGTAACATTGACAGAAACTAACATCTATGAACGTTGAACGATTGTATTGTAATCATTTGACTCATTTGAAACATTTGTGAAAAACACGACAATTCGAAATTCAAATTTATTCCAAATTTAAACTGGTTCGTACCTTTTCATCAATAAAAATAACGTCCAATAAGAGCGATTACACTTTGCTACGTTTCATCGCAACAAATTAATTTCGAAATCCTTAATTAGCCCGGTGCGATAGCAGGCAGCGTGTAGTAAGCGCGCTATCGACTTATACCTCGGAATTATGTCAGCAGATAACTAACTTTGAATAATTGATCCTTGCTCGATAACTTACCGAATCAATCAATCATCGATCACATGTTGTTTGCGCAACGGGCCGGCCGTGTTGGCCCCATTTTGGGGTAATTTTCCGTTTTTTATCGAAGCAGTATCGGTCTGCATTGTTTTATTATTATATTGATCGCTATAAAGAGTAGGTTGTTGTATTGTGTTGTGATGTTGCTATAGACATTAACCTAAATAACAAGCACTTGCATTATGAGTTGATTATAAATTGTGACATTTTTTATAATATAATTACTGTTTGGGTTATAATAAATATGTTCTATTATTGTATGCGAGTAATTATTGATTGCAATTTCAAGTGCCGATTTGGTAGGTGCTCAGTGGTGAATGAAAACACCGTAAGGAACCTAGGTTAGGTTAGGTTACCTGCATGTATGAAAAATTGAAAAAAAAAAACAATTTCGAAGACATGTAAAGTTCAATACGCATTCGGGACAGCACGGTGGATTTTTCTTTACCCGAAACCCTCTCAAAAATGAGAGGAGGCCTGTGTCCAGGACTAGGACGTATAAACACCCATAGTTCCCGTGGGTGTCGTAAGACGCGACAGAGGGAAACTGAAACAGGACATGGGCACCATCTTAGCTCAAAATTATTAATAAAACTGCGGTTGCTAAGCCGCCTGCCAAGCGTTGTGATTATGGCACAATCCCCCCCTATAAAGCAATCTATGGGGGAGGCCTATGTTCACCAATAAACTTATTTAGGCTGTAGGTATTGGTAGCTTGCTTTCAGTCCTCAGTTATTGTGTTAAATTGTATACCCATAATAAAACTTGGTCTAACGACTCTAATTTTATGCTGATTCTCAAAGCGCATTCGATGGGTCATAGAATGATGATGATATTTAAATAAAGAATAGAATGAAACAGTAAACGATAAACTTCTACAGCTTGAGTGAACACAAACTTATTTTTGAACTCTCCTTGTCCGCAGAAGAAGCTACCAGTCCAGAAGGCGGCGTGAAGGAACGGGGCGAGCGCGGGGAGGGGCAGGACTTGGGCGAGGCGTCCCGCACTGCCTCCCCCGCGTCACACGCCTCCCCTGCGCCCGACGAGAGAGATGACATCGAGCACAGCATCCCAGCGACCCTGATACAGGACCCTAATGCTGAAAGGTGCGTCCCTCTTTCGCGTCAGATCAAATAAATGAAGAAAATACACAAGAGCTGCAATTATGCTTTTCAATGACCATGGTTACTTTGTCATGTATTCTACTAAGAAGAAGATGATTTTTTTTATATTGTGCAAAGCCGAAACATTTTATTCAATTTAAACTTGTTTCAAACTCCTATAAACTTTTAGAATTTACACCAGTGGTTCTTAACCTTTTAGATGTGAGCGACCATTGTCCGTTTTTTGTTTCGTCCATGGACCACAAACTTTTAGATATAGTAAATATAATAAATAGTATGGTTAATTTTTAAGTTTGTTCTATATTTTTTAAATAATTTTGACAATGCTATAAACATTACTAATATTCCCCTTAACCATTCGTGGTAAGCTTAAATTGCTTGTGTTACGAGTGGTTCACACCAGTAGTCGAATGGCGGATTCGAACCCACGACCTTTTTGAGTTCGCGGTACGCGCCCTGCCATTAGGCTACTGTCGCTTGTTGTATAAATAAAATACATACAAAAATTGATGTGAAAATTGGTATCATTGTGCGCCCCTTATTTTAATTTAGCAGCACATAGTACAGAAACCGTATCACCAGTAGTACGGAATGTTGTGTACTTTTCTATATGAGAGAGAATTGTATGATGCCTTTGGGACGATTTCCGCTGCTTTGGACCACCAGTAGTCCACGGACTACCGGTTAAGCATAACTGATCTACACAGACATTAATTGCAGATATTTGTGCAGGTCTTATAGGATTAGTAGCCCTGTGACCAATAAAATCTATTGTGGTAACTTCTACGCTGAAGCACTTTTTATAAACCATGGTATTCCTTAGTTGTGAGGTCTTTGTGGGGTTTCCGTTCGCGTATAGTTCCACCACTACAAGAGAAAGAGAATCTATTATCCCATATCGTGTCCTGGGTATCGTTAGAGGAGACGGAGGGTAATAAAACCGGAGATAGCAAGCAGAATCTACCTGATAACAACTCAAAATTGTTGCACCCTAGATTGTTAAGGAGAAAATAAAAATTTGAAAAAGTGAAGATAAAGACGAATTGGCCTCTTTATTTCAGAGGAATAGAATTATAAAAAGTAAATGGATTGCAGTTTAAGTATTTTTTTTTAGTTCAGCTCTCAAGCTCACACATTTCATTCATTAATTCATTACAGCATATCGAATGTCCCCTGCTGAACATAAGATTCACCCATAGATTCTCCTTGACAGGTGGGATTTACGTAGTATTTTATTATTTTGATTTGTCATAAGGAAGATGCTATTACCTTTTACAACACCGACGGGATGATATGGGGTAGTGAAATTTCTAACGTACCACTTCACTGCGACTATATGAACGTCTGTTGCAAAATTTCTTTTGAGCTCATCACCTTCACAAGTCCACTGTTGATTCAAGTCTTCCTCAAAGAATGCTACAAAGCACGGCCCTGAGCCACCTGCATCCATCGACATCCTGCTTGTCTTACCAGGTCGTCACTCATTCTAGTTTCATTGAGCTATATATAGTTAAATTGACTAGGCTTTCCTATCATTGTCTCCCGAGAAATTAAGAGTAACACGGACTCGTGAGTGTCACTTGAAATCAAGCAAAAATTCAATTATCGAATTCACACTGAAATAGTATTAGCTATCCCACTTTCAGTAAGGAGTACCCACATTTTTTTCGAAACGGTCTAAATTGTTCCAATCTTCGACGGAAGATATCTTTTGGAAGTGGTCCAAGTCGCTCCGTTAGCTCTCAAGTCTTCGAATTTAAGTCATATTTTGAGTCGAACACCAAGCTTATGCAGTTTATAGCTCCTGACGTGTTGGTTACTGCAAATGGGATCTTGGATGTTATGCGGAGCGAAAGTCTCCATTTAGAGAATTTCCTTAACGTAACTTAAGGTCTCAAAGTTATTATTAGATTTCAATAAAAGGTATTTTTCTTACGTTACTGACAGTAACGTTGTCTATTTGTCGGTGGTCCAAACATCATTCCGCGGTCATTTTAACGATCCCATTGTTTTCAATGATCACTTGTCAACTGATGTCCGCGCCACCGTTCCTGACGCGACCGACAGTCATAAACCTTCATTTCGCTCTATTCTAACGTCTGAAGAACTATTTTTGATTAAGCGAAAGCTCAACCGCAACTAGACATGTTAGCGAAACGAATGAACATGATCGTGACAGCATTAGAAGGTTGTGGCGGTAAAAATGATCGGATATTTTTTGTATGACACTTAATCAATTTAAGTTTAATAATTATGATCAAGCGTTTTAGTCAGAACATTCATAGAAACAATGCAATTGCCTCGATTTTATTATATGGATAGTACGACGCTAGATAACACACCGACAAAGCATAAATCACGTTATTATTCACAATTTGTTATCGGTAACGGTAAATACTCATTGTCGGTACATCGGCCGTACTTTATTAATATTTTTCTTAAATTATTAAAGTATTGAAGCTATGTCATGGCTTTTTATATCAATGAAAATATCATCACCATCATCATCATTACAGCCCTTCACAGGTCCACTGCTGAACATAGGCTTCTCCCAAGGAATGCCACAAAGAACGGTCTTGAGTCACCTTCGTCCATCGACTTCCTGCATATCTTATCAGGTAGTCACCCCATCTAGTGGGGGGAGTACCCTATACTAAGTACTTAGTACGAAGCTGTCACTCGAGAACCTTTCTTCCCCATCGGTTGTCAGTTCTTCGAGCTATATGGCCGACCCATTGCCACTTTAGCTTACTAATCCTATGATCTAAGAATACAGAAAAAGCTAAATCTAAGAATATGGTAGAAATTATTATCTTAGAAAGTTTTGTATTAGAGTAATTTACCCGTAGCGACAAGCCGAAGAATCAGTAGAAATTACCGTATAAAATACCATAAGACCTCTAAACTTTGTTGCGTCTATACCGACAAATGAAAATTTTGTATTTCAATTCTTTTATTCCACTACCTAGTGCAAGTGTTGATATTAATTAATAAAATTACTTAAAAATCATGAAGTTCTCTGACTTTGTAGTAAAGGTACTTGATGTACAACCATATCCAAAAGGAACATTTGTCGTACAGTGGAATGTGTACGTAATTATTATTTATAAACTAGCACCTGAATTCACATTGGTTCACGAGGTGTCACCAGTGAGTTAATTTATTTTGTTTTACAGTTCCTCAGCCTCACATCATTTCCTACAGTCTTGTAGAACACGTTTGTTGGAACAGATGGTTTTCTTTTCACTGACATGGTAATAACTGTTTGTGGAACGTCCCAACTGTCAATTTAAAGAAAACTAAGCACTGAAGAATAGATAGGAAAGTAAAACAAATAGCAGCGTCTGTATTTAATTATGCTAATGACGGCTCATAAAATTTATCATCAATTATAAGAAGATCAATACATTTTATTTTATTACCATAAAATTTGTATTGGACTGGATGCGCTCGTCTCGTAACGAAATCACTTATTTCTCGACTTTTTAATTAGAATTTGAATATGGAAATATTTCTGAATATTATAAAGTCTTCATATTATATGTACATCCGGTGAGCCAGGTACGAATGTTAGTTTGGTATTTTGATATCTTCGAATTGAGCAGAAAGCAAAAATCCTCTCTATTCCCTTCAGATTGAGTCGAAAAGCTTTTGAAAGTCAGTTTTCTTAGCGGCAAATAATATATTGGTTTTGTGTGGACGTTCCGTGTTCCATCACTGTCAATTAGTCGCAGTGAAGAGACGTCATCAATCATAAACATTCTCTACAGAGCTCTAGAGCATCCATCGTGAGGGTCTATTGTTTAGATTTCAGATTTACCGAAATTTCATCTCCCTGTAGATGTCTGTCCGAGTGGAGGCTATCGGCTTCGTACAATTGCTATACCTTATGTATATTGGTAGTCCTTTTTACTTTCAATATGTAGGTTGACTATGTTAAGGTTGATTGTTTCGAGTCAGCATCTTTCTCACCGTATGAAATAGGAACATACTAACGTCAATTTTGTCTTAAATACGAACAGCCTCAAGTGATCGCTTTGTGATTGTCCACTACACTGTTTTGTAACTCTACGAATAAATCCTTTTTTTTATGGTTATTAGTGTCAATATTGATTCATCAGAATCTTATAAGTTCAGATGCTTGTTTGAATATTTTTTTTCATTTGGAATATATTATGCTTCATATTAATTGAAAATAGCCTATAATATTTATATAACCTATAATATTTACTTTCGTAAAATAATTGTCTCATTAATACATTTCTTTACAATAATTCGTTTTATCGAAACTTATTGAAATCAATGTTTTGTTATGTATTCACATACTTAAAGTTCATAATTGTTTCTGAAGTCAGTAATGATTTTAAACAGTAGAAAAATTAAAACAGTAGTTGATAAACTAAGTTTTTTTTAAAGCGTTATTTATTGGTCAGACTGTCTTTGAGGTAAAATATATAAAAAATAATGAGGTCAATGTGGAGACGAATTTTTATTCATACAATATTAAAATATTGTTTTTATTACCTTCATCAATATATTTTATCGCGATGAGTAGACTTTGTACGATAATTGACTTTAGCCTAGTCATGTCTATTTAGCGAAATATTGTCTGACTTATTTGCATTCCGCATTTTTATTGCTTCGAAGACATCTGTGTTGGTTTTAAAATTCACGTTGTAACTGCGAAATTATTCAAAGTGTCAGGTGCTATAACCCGAGCCGCATTGAGTGAAGTGAAACTAAAAATTAACGTGCACATGCTTCCAATACCCAATTTTAAATAGGTAAAACGCCACTGACTAGAAAAATCACATAATAAACTTTGAACGTCACTAACCTTTCAGCCTTATTTTTTTTTTCTACTGTGGAGCGTTCTCGTGGTATTTTCGATGTCGTGCGTAAACAGTGCGGGGGAAAGAGAGAACAATAGCTGTCACATAAATACATGTGATTGATTGACCCGCACCTAACTAATGTTTATAGGAAGCAATAAACAGCTGGCGATTCTGTTGAGAACTGAGTGTGTGCTTTAAAATATGCAGTTTGGCTAATGTATCCTGTCGATCACGATAGCTGTTTCAAAATGGTTATAGTTTTGCCCCATTTTCGATAGACTAGTGGACTGTATTTGATTCTTTAAGTTTGTTACAACAATTCGAATGTTTAAAGTTAAGGATAATTTTTGTCTTCGTTCAGGTTTGTTAACAGTGTTGTTCTCTTATTTAGTGATAGCTTACAGAATCTCACTAGCATCTGACAAAAGTGTTGATAAAAAAAATTGCATTAGTCACAACTAAAAAATATGCAACATAATTTTCCCTTTTTATTAAAAAAGGAAATCGTTAATAATACTCTAAATCCGTCCACCGTCCCTTGTCCGATGGATGAAAGGATATGTCGTTGTGTAGCTCGCCGGTTTTCCTGTCATCGCCATCAAATAATCTCAGTGGACTTTCATCTACTGGCTTTGACATGTGTAAGCCCTCCGTAAACATTAAGAAGATATTCCGATTGGTTACTATATCGTATATAGCTCATTGGTGTCAGGTGAGTCAGCTATGCGGAGTAGCTCCGCTTTGTCGGGGCTGTCATCGGAACGATCGCCCGTCATTGCATGTCCACCTCGCGCATAGCACGCACGCTTGCATTACGCAGCGCACCACCCCTCGAAAGCGTACATGACTAGTCGTCTCACTCCTTCGCTCTGATTCGCCCATTTCGGCCGCAGCTGTCTGTCTTCCGCGGAGGGCGTGCGGGGAGAGTGCGCTGCAGGCGGGTCGTAAATCACGCGGCATCTCATTCCACGCGGGATCGCCGCCGTTACCGCATGTTCCGCACTCCCCGTCCGACCGGCATCGCGGCGCGTCTTTCGCGTCGTGTTTACTTCCAGTCGCTCTTGGGAAGTCAATTGTTCTCTTGTAAAACAGTGTACAGAATTGATAAAGTGTTGTTACATGGATCCGAGATACATCAGATTAAGGCAGTTTGGAGTATATTGAAAAAATTTCGTCCAATATGATCGTCGAGCCCGACCATGTGAGGTACGTTCTAGTGTTGGTTAATTTATTTCGTTGTTTTGTTTTTTTACATGTTTTTCCTATTAGGATATCCCAATACATTTGTGGTCGATATGAATATCTGAATGCCTGAAAAGTGTTCTTGTGTTGTAGATTTTTAAATTTGTTTTCTTTTTAATTAATTTTTTGAGATTGTTCTATTTCGATTTTGTGTTATATTTTAAATCATTCGAATTAACTTTGATTAAATCTAATGAAACAATATTTAACTACGAATAGTTTTTGTATCAAATTTATAAACATTAAAATTATTTAAAAAGAACTGGTTTACTTAATATTTTGAATATTCTGAAACAAATTAAATCAAGATTTATTTTCTAAATAATATTTCATCGATATTTAGTTCTTAAAAAGTTTTATCTTATAAACACTACAAGTACGCCACGAATAAGGTGTGGTAAAAACACATGAATTAAATTTATACTCGTATAATGTTTCTAAATGATACCTTACATGTTTTAAGAAACTGCTGTTCTTTTACGAAACATGTATTTGTTCGATCACTATTAAAACTTTAGGTGATGAGTGTAGGTAATGTAAGTTTGGTAGTCCTTTTCTAATTTGTGAATTCCTGCGTTAGCTCGTTCTTAAGTAAAACGCTTCTTTAATAAAATGTTTCGTCGGAATCATAATTAATTAATACGCTCAGGTCTCTAACACATATGTTATCAATGTTTATGTGAATCCGTCAGTATTATAAATTCTATGGAGCAAATGATTTGAAAGTATAGTTATTACGTTCGTAGTTGTTGTTATATTATTTGATCATTTATGAACATTTTCGTAGAATTCTTAAACGTGTGGGTTTATTCATACTTAATAAGATTGTGATGTAGTAAGATTCAGTTATAATTGTTGAGAATTGATAATCAACAAATAATATAGCTTTGATATTTTAGATTTTAAGTTAAGTTACGAGATAACTGTTTACACTTTGAATATACGAAAATAAAATAATTAATACCATATCATTGTTAACTCTTAATTAAGAAGTTAAGCAATATTTGTTTGGTCCATTCGTTTTAAATACTTTGGGTTCACTTTCGGGAACGTAAATCAATGAAAAATGTATCTAAACTATGCTACTGCTGGAAGGATAACTTTTTCAAGCGATTTTTTAATCAGTAAAAAATTATTCCATACTTGATTTTTTTTTTTGCTGATCGAACGTTTAAAAAATCAACCAGGTAACAGGATTTTAACCATTTCACTATCCTGTGAGTCTCATATATGAACATTTCAATTGTTCAACTATTGTGTTTTTTTCGCGGACAGGGAAGTTGTTTAGAAATGTAGTGATATTGATAGCAATAATAATTTTATTATTGTCCTCAGGGAGAGCCCGAGATGTCTATCGCGGGAGTCATCGGGTGCGCCGCGATGTCCCTCCAACGACTCCGTGTACTCCGGAAGGAGTGCGCCAGGGCTGCCCCTTCCCGCGGCCCTGACAGCGGCCCTCCCGGCTGCCCTCCCGGCCGCGCTGCTGCCGCCACACTCGGCCGCAGTGGCGGCGTACCTGGGCGCGGCAGCCGCGGCCGCGCAACAGCGACTCCTCATGTCCTGTCAAGAAGACCTCATCGACTCAGAGCGCTCTGACGCTGTCCTCGACTTCAGCACAAAACGCAGTGAGTCCCCGCAGGACGATGACGACGATGACGACGCCGTTAACCTCAGCAAAACGCTCGAGAACGGTCCTCTCGATCTCTCCGTTGGGACCAGGAAACGTGGGCCCGAGGACTCGCCGTCCCCAGTTCCCACGAGAAAAAGTTCCCGACCGGCTGAGTTTAAGCCCACACCGTCACCCTGGTCGACGCCGGTAGCGCCGCACTTGCCGTACTTCGCTGCAGCGGTCGCTGCAGCTAGCTTATCTCCGAAAGGCGGCGTACCTGCTGAGTGGAACGGGAAGTTAAAACATGGTGCGCCCACGCCAAGCGATGCGACAAAAGCGTTAGAAAAGATGAGCGAATTGAGTAGGTTAGGCGGCGAAGAACTGTTCAGGTCTGTCCAAAACGCAGCTTTGGGCGCTGGACTGACGCCGAACGCAGCTGCTCGTCACTCCGCCTGGCAGTCACACTGGCTCAACAAAGGAGCCGATCAGACTAAGGACGTGCTCAAATGCGTTTGGTGTAAGAAGAGCTTCAATTCCCTCGCGGACCTTACTGTACACATGAAGGAGGCGAAACACTGCGGTGTAAATGTGCCAGTCCCGCCATCGACGGGAGCACCTTTACCTCCTTCGCTGCAGCCGCCTTCGAGCTCACCGTCTACACCATCTCACAATTCGACATCTTCCAGTGGCTCTTCGAAGCCGAATCATAGCGATCTTAATATGCTCATTAAAGAAAATATGCCAATACCTAGAAAGTTAGTTCGCGGGCAGGACGTATGGCTCGGTAAGGGAGCTGAACAAACCAGGCAAATTTTAAAATGTATGTGGTGCGCAGAAAGTTTTCGATCTCTAGCCGAAATGACAAGTCACATGCAGCGTACGCAGCATTATACAAATATCATATCTCAGGAGCAGATTATCTCATGGAAGTCATCCGACGACGGTAAAGGCTCCAACTCGAACGCCCCGGGTTCTAATAACGCTGTTCCGCCGACCACAGGCACTAGTAGTCACGTTAGCGCCGTATTAACTTGTAAGGTTTGCGATCAAGCGTTCAGTTCCTTGAAGGAACTAAGTAATCATATGGTAAAGAATTCGCATTATAAAGAACATATTATGAGGTCTATTACTGAAAGCGGTGGTAGGAGACGACAAACGCGTGAAAAGAGGAAGAAGTCATTACCGGTTAGAAAACTGTTGGAGCTCGAACGAGCTCAACATGAGTTTAAGAATGGGGAAGGCAATGGAGTTCCGATGGGCAAACCTATCAGGGACTTTAGCGCGGGTAGTAGAATTACTTGTGAAAAATGCGGCGATAAAATCGAAACAGCTGTATTCGTCGAGCATATTAGGCAGTGTATCGGTGGCCCTATGTCGAATAGCCAAAGGAATTTCCTTAAAAGCGCGCTTCTCTCCAACAATATCATACCACCTGATGTTCCCGGTCATATCACGCCGACAAGCCGCGATGGTCGTAAAAGTATCAACGAGGAACTGCCCTCTCCTGGTTCCGCTCACCATCGTTCTCCATCTTCGGTGAACGATTCATCCCCAAGTTCCAAAGACGCGAACGCGAGCAATGACAAAAGCTCGTCACCATCTGTATTAAACGCCATAGAACAATTGATCGAAAAGAGTTTCGATACTCGTTCACGGCATTCCGTTCCTGGTATGCCCGGTGCCCCATCCCACGCTCCTATCGGTTCTAGTATCCTTAAAAGATTAGGCATAGACGAGAGTGTAGACTATACCAAACCATTGGTAGACCCACAGACGATGAGTATGTTAAGAAGTTATCACCATCAGCAAGGGTACGGGCGTCGCGAGCGCAGTGGCAGTGAGTCAAGCTCGATGTCGGAAAGGGGCGGTAGTAGGGTTGAATCTCTCACTCCCGATAGGAAATTAGACGCGTATCACATGACGCCTCGCACGACACCTGACACGCGAGGCTCACAAACTCCCGCTTCCGAAGATCGTCCCGCTGAAGTTAGAATAAAGAAAGAGGTAACGGATGAGGACGAACGCGAGAGCGGTGTCGATTTGAGCAATCAAACGGTTCGCGTTAAAACCGAAGTGGAGGAGGAAGAAGAGCCGGCTAGGCCGAATAGTGCGACGGAAGAGGATGTAAAACCGACAATCCCAAAGCGCGAAAGCGAAGGCCCTAGTCCAGCAGCTAGTCCCCGAAGTCCATCAAGCGATCGGTCCGGACCCACTCCGGGTTCAGACAGAAAGCCGGCTTCCAGTTTAGGCGCGCTTTCGTCTATGTTCGATAATTTAGCTGGAGGTGGGTCCAATGAGCCCAGCTCTTCTCGCCGGGGTGGGAGTCATCCTCTCGCGGCTTTGCAGAAGTTGTGTGATAAAACGGAGAGCAATCCTTCACGAGCCCCGCCCCCGGCGCCACCGCCCGCTGGTCCTCCAAGCATCTTGACATTTAGTTGGGCGTGTAACGATGCCGTCGTCACAGATTCAATAATGAAGTGTGCTCTCTGCGACACTCCATTCATCTCAAAGGGCGCTTACCGGCACCATCTTTCTAAAATGCATTTCGTAAAAGACGGCGCTTTACCAGAGCCAGTCCCCGTGAAAGCTCCACAAGCAGCTGGTTCGCCTGGTGCCCACAAGGGTGGCGGTTCTAACGCCGCTTCACCCCAAGACCCTCGAAGTCCCTCCCAGTCCTTCGAAGAGAGCCCCCACTCCAAATTTCTCAAGTATACGGAACTCGCGAAACAGCTATCCAGCAAATACGTGTAGATAGGGTCGAATCGGCCAGCAGTTGTGATGATATCATATCCCGCTACGTTGAACCTAGGTACCTAGGTTTTAGTCGCCCCAGCGACGCTAAGTATTTCGAAACTCTTTGCCAATTTAATTATTTTAGGTAATCGTTAGAGTTCACCGCATAGTTCGGTTAGTGTAATTATGAATAGCGACATAAGTATACGCCAAACGTCTTACGTTCGTTTAGATATTAAGAGAATATTTTCAAAATATTGCCTTTAGGTGAATTGGGTCGGTTGTCGTGCAACGCGCGGTCCTCGCCGGCCGCGGCTTATCTTCCACACTACGTTGTAATTCCATTTTCCAATTGTATATATAAGTCGCATTAAGTCTTAAAAGTTCAATTCGATCTCTTTGTAAATGTATATTTTTTTCTAATGACTAGAGAAGTGGTCACTTTCGCGATCCGGTATCGCCACTTCGATCGACTTCGCGCGATGTATGCGTTTATACATCGCGACGTTGACTTTCAGTATTCGATAATAGAACTGTTGCAATATCATTTTCTCTCGCGTTACTTAATTTGTCTTTGTAAATCGGAGTTAGGCTTAACGTCCTTAGTTATTCTATGTATATTTTGAAGGTGTCAAGAGGTGAAACTGGTGAAACGGCGGCCGATGCCCGCAATCTCGGAGATTCAATCTCAGTCGGCAGTACGTTGTACATACGTGATTCGTCATTGAATGCAATATAACAGTCTCCTTAGTGTAAATTTCGCTCTAGATCCATACGCTCTCCCCGTGAGTTTGCTATTTATTATTTAGTGATAAGTACGTAATTAGGTGACCTTACTGTGAACACTTGTATACCATTGTACCAGCGTTATTCGGTTGTCCAAACCAAGCTATATATTAAAAAAGTGATAATACGTTATACAATTTTCATTTGTTTAAAGGACGACTACATTCGTATACGGTTAGATTTTCGATTGTATTGAGAGAAAAGCTTCCAATTTTAACAACAAGATATACGAGTTGTATATACGGTACTTGCGAGTGAAAAACTCTTTTATATTTAATAAAAATATTGTAAACTGTCTAAAATAAGTTTCAAAAGATATCAATCGATTCGTATGTGATTCGCGAATTCGTAATGTAACTGTTAATCACGTTAGTGTACAATTTGTTTGTTTTTTTATTAAATTTGTTCATAGGCTCTATGACCGTTTCCTTTTCGTTTGTTTTTTTTAATCATATATATCTGTACTTATATTTGTTTTGACAGTTATCTTACGAATACGTATCACAAAGGTGATGTTTAAAATCGATAAACTATCATTTTAACGATAATTAATGAAACATACGACAAATATTATGTATACGCTAGCTCTGATGAGAGATTTTTGCTCATTCATTAAACGATAAAAAAATGGTGTTGAAATATTGATTTTACCAAATTAAAATAATCTTATTTAATATTTTATGTTGTATTTCAAAATGCAATTAAAAGCTCAAAGAAATATATATGTTAAATACTTTAATTATGTTTATTTCATTTATGTTTGCCCAGTACGAACCTTATACTAAAAACACAGACTATAAAATATTCACATTTGTTTATAGGGAACGACATAAAAGATGAACAGAGCGAGAAGTCTACTTCTAATTTAATTAAAAACTTGTAAAGATAGTTATTAACAATAAAAAGAGGAATATTTTGTGGATAGTAGTCAAATTGAGATGTTGACTCCCATTACTTGACTAGCGCCCTATACTCACTTCGCCCGAAAGGGTTTTCCTAACTGTTACTGTAATACATAGCATCACGACTGCTATCCTCGATGGTGAAGGCACAGTCCAAATAGCACCGATCTACTTGGACCACGTTATGCCCAAAAATATGGCTAGTCCAACGTTTACACAATCACAAACCCTGAAATCAAAATCACATTAGTGGCGTTTTGCGACATGGCAGGTAAGTTAGAGAACAAGACAGTTAGACATTCCTGTTGTTACCGGTATGTTCCAGATCAACGTGGGAATCATAATAAAGTGGACTAAATATTTCTTATGGTAAGTAAAATTTGCCGTGTGGTGAGCGTGGGAATAAGCACCCCATCTCATAAGAGGCGACTATGGAATGCCTGAAAAATATAATGGTTTTCGATTGATAGTTTTTTTTAATAGAATAAGGGTGACAAACGAGCACACAGTCCGCCTGATGGTAAGTGGATGCTGTGGTCCATAGACATCTATACGTTTATCCTTGATTAAGAATCAAAAGGCAGATGCGTTGTCACCCCTCAGGAGTATGATGGAATGCCTCGTTTCCAGTAAAAAAGGATCTCCGGATCTCTACACTCACCATACGATACACAACAGTATTAGGCTGTTTTTTTACGCTGGTATTCTGTGAGAGCGCGGTCCTTTCCCGATCGAGCCGACCCATTCGTGCTACAACCATATTATAGCTGCAGTGTGGCTCTACCACGTTTATGAAAGACGTAAGATTCCCAGACCAATGAGGTACACCAGCGTCAAAGGTACACACATCTGGTAATGCAATTGACCATTGTCAATATATTATGGTACATAACGAGTGGTTTGTATATATTTGTAAAACAGTTTTTTACACATATATACAATACACTCGTTAACTTTCACGCATGTCATCCAGAGGTGTAGTTAGAAACTCATCATTAATTCATTCATAACAGCCTTTTTTATAGCTTTAGATGACAAACGAGCACACAGTCCATCTGATGATGCTGTGGCCTATAGACACATTTATCCTCAACTAAGGATCAAAATGCAAATGCGTTGCCACCCCGGAGGATCAAGATGGAATGCCTCGTTTCCAGTAAAAACCGTTTTCGGTTCTCTACACCCACCATATGAAACAGCAGCATTACGCTGGTATTCTGTGAGAGCGCGGTTCTGCCCCGCTTGATCCGACCTAATCGTGTAACAACTATAATATAGCTGCAGCGTGGCTCTACAACTTAAAAAATAAGTTCACTGCTGAACATAGGCCTTCCTCATAGGTTGTCTGATGGGAGTATTGGAATGGGAGTATTTTGCCAATGGTGCCACGCAAGTTATATGTACACGATAATCAAACCTTCCACAGCAAAAGGTGTTTCAAAATAAAAATTAATTGAAATGAAAATCATATAAATTGGATCTATCTAAATTACTTTTATTCAAATGAAAACATTCATAAAACAAACGAGTAAACGAGTGCTTTGTTGTGATGGTGTAAGATAATGCGTGGTAGAACCTTGCTGTAGCTATATAGTTTTAGCACGAATGGGTCAGTTCGACTGGAGAAGGACCACGTTCTCACAGAATATTAATGTATAATAGCAGCTTAACTCTTTTGTGATTTGTGTGGTGAGTGTAGAGAAACGAAGACCTATTTTATTGCAGACGAGGTAATCCACGTTACTCTTTACGGGTGGCAACTCATCTGCATTTTGATTCTTAATTGAGAATAGATGTAGATGTCTATGGGCCACAGCGTTCACCGACCATAAATTGGACTGTGTACTCGTTTGCCACAGTTACTCAATAAAAAATTCACTACCCCATTTCGTGTCGTGGGTGAGAAATGTCAAGAAAATCTAAGGCTTTTATACATGGCTGTATAAGCATCTGGTCTACGTCAACTATTAACTCAGACCTTGTACTCTGACCATCAATCCACCTGCTAAGGGTGACGACTAAAGCAGCAGTAGATTTTTACGAACTGATAAGGAAAAACGTTAACAGTTCACTGACAGTAAATGGCTTCTGTGACCCATCGTAAGAGGCGACTATGGGATATCTTAAAAAAACCTTATGACTGCCGATAGATGGCGCACCTTAATCACGAGTATTTTAAGTTTGTCGTAATTGAGATGTACTGCGAAGTGCGAACATCAATTGTTCTGCCAAGTCTGACGAATAAGGCAAATCCTCCTTAAAACGGGGAAGGCCAGTAGCGGCCAGTAATGGTATAACAGGCAGATAACGGCTGATTGGAGATCACTTAAAATAACTTTATATTTCTTTTTACTTTATTTTTTTTACTTCTTTTTTACTAATTCACATCACACATGACCTATTTTGATGAATTTTTTTATGTGTGTGGTCCCTGGATGGCTTAGATTTACGAGTAGATCCAGTACACGTACCGGTATTGTGGAGAACCAGAAATTACCAGTGCGAAGCCGAGGCGTATTGCTAGTATATTAGGTTGAACCTATCAAATTGACGTTTTGTTTAAAAATGTTTGAATTTTTATTAAATAAAATAAATTAACGTAATTCTTTTTATTTCTATTAACACTTAAGGAGTCGCTAATACTCGAACGAACCCAGTCCTTAATATTTTGACTACTAAAATTCGATGTTTGCAAGTGCCACTCTTATTACCTTCCAACGATAGTATAGCACAGCAAATAACGACGTTGATAGTCAGTTTAAAAAGTGTCAGTAGAATGTAAGAAAATGTGATTTTACTTACTTCAAAGAATATATTGTATTTTTATATTTTTTTTATAATGTTTTAATATTTACCACGTGCTCGGCGGTGAAGGAAAACATCGTGAGAAAACCTGCATGTCTGAGGAATAAGAAAAAAAAAATATTTCGAAGACATATGTTAAGTGCGCCAACACGCATTGGGGTAGCGCGGCGGACACTTCCTTGCCCTAAAACCTTCTCAGAAATGAGGGGAGGCCTGTGCCCAGCAGTAGGACGAACATAGGTTATAACTTTTACATTTTTTTTTAAATATTTCTATGATGATTGATGATTATTTTACAATTAATGATTTTTTTACATACGTTTCCCTTTATTTCGTAAAAATGGTAAATAATTTTTTGTAAGACAATGTAGATATTATTATTATTTTCTCTGAAATAAGAAATTATAACGATTAGCCTAAAACATGTCACAAAACTTTGGAAAAATTTAGTATATTCTTGTGACAGCTTTTGTTTGAATTAAAACAATAAATATTAGTATTTGATTTAATTATATTTTTCTTTAC